TAAAATATTCTTTAGAAAATAAAAAAAATTAAAACCAAAATAAAATTACTTCAGTAAATGAATCAAATGATGAAAGTAATGTTGATAAACGATATTGTTCGAATAATAAAAGATCATCAGATTCTAGACCTTGTTTATCAAACATCTAATTGAGAAAACAAAAAAAAAACAAATTGTTTTAAATATAATAAATAATAAATATTACTCGATCAAGTTTATCAATTAATTTAAATCTAACACGTCGATCAATTAATTTCGAACGACACATTTGTTGTAAACAAGAAAATAATTCTTTTTTATCAATATCATCCATAGATATACTTTCTAATAAATTATTTAATAATAAATAACTATCTTCATCACCAGACCTTCAATAAAAAAAAAAATAAATGAAAAATTCAATTGTCATTTTTTTTATTTTACTTTATATTTTGACTTATTTTTTCAATAGTTAATGTTAATATTTGATAAATTGAAATGTCATAAAAAAAATTTTTTTTAAATAAGTAATCAAATGAAATTGTCCATGTTTACATAATAAATCTGATAAAATTTGTTCTTGTTGTTGAATATCTTCACATTGATCTATTTGATTTAATTCATCCTGTGTAATAATCTGGTAAAAGTTTATATAAAACTTTAAGACGTAATAAACATTTATTTAATTTTTCTTCTAATATTTTCCATTGTTCATCATCTTTCGAAATAATTTGTTTGATTGAATATTCAATTATTTCTATTCGTTTATTAATAGAAAGAATATTTCTTGATGATAATAAATTATTAATGCACAAATTAAAATCCTCAAATAATGTTATTCGATTTAATAAATCAAATATTAATAATGATGATGGGTTATATTCTAAATAATATGAATATATCCAACTTGAAGTAATAATTAATGATGATGAAACTTTAACTTGATCAAGTGCTAAACCAAGATTTATTATATTTGAATCATTCGAATGTTTTTCAATAAATAATTCCGGTGATGAAAGTAAGTATTTATAATCAAAATCTAAATTAAAGAGAATACATCGAAAACTAAATTCAGAATTGATAGTTTCTTCATAAAATATTACAATAAGATAAAAATCCTGTTAGAATTTGACTCTTGTCTACGCTCTCATCTTTCTATCATGGATTTTATTCAGGTCATAGGTTTTGTGGAAAGCTGCTGTTTTTGAATTCTATTCAGATCTAATCAAATCTTGATGATTATTATTATCTTTTTTCTGGGTTAATAGTTTGTACCTCAATTCGAAGACCTATCAACTAGAAAATTTTCACAATGTTATTATTTAAGCAATATTAATAAAAACGCATAAAACAAAGCAAAAATATATTAATTATTTCGTGTTCAAAAAAGAATGTTTCAATCATTTTTTTTATTCAAAACAAAATTCATGACCTTGCTGACAAAACTGCATAGAATAATTGAGAGCGTAGACAAGAGTCAAATTCTAACAGGATTTTTATCTTATTGTAATATTTTATGAAGAAACTAT